TCTTTAACTCAGCATTATTTCAGAATCCACAGCTGAGGAGTAGTCACAATGTTTGATGACAACACCGCTTTCACAGCTGTGTATGGTGTTGTTTTGTCCACATTACAGAGAAACAATGCTTTTAGGACAAAAAAAACTCAAGGGTTGACAATAATCACCGCTGTCTGGTCACTGAATAGTCAAGACTGGGCTTGAAGACTCCTCTTTGCTCTAAGTCTTTAATACTCTTTAATCATCAAATGTTTTATTTATATTCAGCGCAGGTCCTGTTCAATGTGTGAGTCTCATGATTACACTTCTGATTGCTTACGCAGGGGTCAAGGAGCAGCAGGATTTCATCTCATATCGCGGAGTGTGTTAGCATGAGCCCATCCGTCATTAGGACAGTGTGTTGGCTGGACGTCCCTGTCAGTGAGCCGTCCATTTTGTCAGACAGCCAGATCCATCACGTTAGGATCACGACTGGTTCTTGCTAATGGAAGCCAACCGCTCGGCAAACACATACAAAAAGGTAAATTAATGACAATATAAACAACAGCTGAAACACAAGCCATCCATCAGTGACCGGTTTCGGCAGCTCAGCATTGGCGAGGCCGCACCAATCAGCCACTCCGTCAGAGGCAGTGATGGAGCGCTCTTCACTCTTCCTCTTCTTCCCCTTCATCCTCCTCTCCATGTTCACATTCTGTCTCCCTTTTATTTGTCACCATTTGCCCTTTTTTTCCATGCCACATTTCTGCAATTTTCTCATCGCACCTCCAGTTACCAACATTTGTGTGTCTGGTTTGTTGTTTGGATCACAAAGGGAATTATATAGTAAACATTTGTCTCACTGTTCCTAAATAAATAATGATACAAAACAGTTTGTCGTTAGAACAAACAAGAACAAATCACTCAATTTTTCCCCTTCAAACAGATCTTTACTCCTGGTATGATAATTTGTAAATAAAAAGTTAGTGTTGTGTAACTTTCTTAAAGCCAGAGAGCTGGAATGTGAAGAAAGATCTGTTGATGGAATAGAAGAAGAAGAAGAGGGAAAACTCAAAACAGTTGGAATTCTTCAGCAGCTGACTCAGTCCAGACTACTGTTGATTTCCTGACACTGTGTATAAACACAGTATTCCCTGCACGATACTGAGAGTTTCTACATTTCACTGTAAAACATGCTCCAAAAATGTGTAACGAGTTACTTGGTCAGTAAACTGTCTTTTAAAATTCCCCGTGATAATTCAGTCTCCTTTGACTTTGACTTTCTGAAGCCCCAAAAAAACGTCTTAAATGTGAAATACAGCGTCAGTGCCACAGACATGGAACAGGCCAGACTCATTAATGGTCAACGCTCCTGTAAAGAGTGAATTTCCACAATAAACATGTCTCCCAGATATAATGTTGTTTTTACCTACACAGTGTCTGATTCTACGCCAGTCATATCACAGCAATAGCAGCACCATAAAGGTCTGCGGTCTGTGGTCTATCAGGGGTCTTGTGGTCCGCCTGTGGGCAGAGGTGAAATGCAGCCAAAGTAATTGGGTGCAGCGGTAGCTGGAAATACAGCATTCCTGTCAACACCACAATTGGTGGGCAAACATCTCCATCACTCTGAAGCTAATTTGACCATGAGTGGGTGTCGAGTTGTGACGCTCCAGGAAGAACGTCTGTTGTACGAGGCCCATATCTATTTTGGTCGTGAAGGGCATTATTAATCTGAGGGGAGTGAAACTCTTAAAAAAGTTTAATAATAATAATAAAAGTGTTTGTATACGAGTTAGGATGTGGTCGACTCCATTAGTGTATTAAAGGAAAAAACCAACCAAATACAAAGAGAGAAGTCAGCCACTGATGGAGGGTGTGTTCTTTTACATGCAAACACGTACATATGCTGTTTTGATGATTTTTCCAAGAAAGAAAACCCCCTGGCATTCAGTGACACTGAGAGCCAAGGGGAATTCTTTCTTTACAGGCTGGCATGTAGTCATCCTGTCTGCTGACTGGACCACGCCAACTGTTAAACATCCCAACACCCTGTACAAACACTAACATCTCTGTCTCCACTTCTCCCAACATTCATCTGTCTAATCCACCTCACTTTTTCTCTGCTCCAGTCCGTTAGTGCACCTACCTATACGTCCATCGGTCTCATCAAGAATGGACGTACGTCCACAGTCATCTGTTGCTACTTTGTTTAAAAATGATAGAAAATGAAAGCGTCCTAATCTACGGCTGATTTATCCCAGTGTCACAGTGGTGTTGTGTTGGTGGTGCAGTGAGGTTTATCTTCACACGCTGAGGTTCATGTAGGTTCCCCCTCTGATACATCTGTCAACCACATGTTCCCTCTGCCAGTGCTGCTTCCACAGCTTTACACAGCTGGAGTGGCTGCTCTCAAGTAAGAGACAGTTTTCTTTTGAATTCTCTGTGTGTGTGTGTGTGTGTTTGTGTGTGTGCCCAATCTGCGTCCCTTATGTGCCTCTGCTGAGGGGGATTATCTAATCCCTTATGTGCCTCTGCTGAGGGGGATTTCTAGCATCCCCACATCTTCAACAATAAACACCAAGACCATTAAATTCCCTAATGGAGTTGCATGACCCTTTATTCCTCCCATATCCTGATGTTTGTCATGATGGCTATCGAGCTACATCTTATTTAATTATTACTTCACTGCATTATCTTCAAAACATTTTGCTCAAACGCAAGGTCCCTTGTTCACAGCAATGTCAGCGCGGTTGCATGAGCTCATTAATGAAGCCCTTCCTCTCAGAAAGTATCCAACGTCAGGCCTCCCAAGGCTTCGGTCTTAAAAAATACAACACCCTGCTGTAAAACATAATCTGGAACAGGAAACTAAACTCACTTTTTCCCAAACAGTGGCATTATATGTCTGTGTCGAGCATCTTTGGGTCTTTGAACCCAAAACCACAAAGGACCTGCAGAAATACGATTTCTCTAAACAACTTAGAATAAAACGCAACGCCAACTACGGCACAGCTGTACCAGCTCATGACCAATCTACCAAAGGTGGATATTGAAAGTTACACATACTGTATATAAGTATAGTTCAGGTAAAAAACAGTTTGAAGTTACATTTAAAAAACATCCTTAATCCTAAAAAGAACACTATTCAATATTCAATAACACATATTCTCCAATAAGTCTGAACACGTCTGCAAGCAGAGTTTCCATCAGAGAATTCTTTCTTCGTAGAATTCCGGGGAACATCGTTTTACACTACATCACAACCTGATTCTTTGACTCATCTAAGGACTGAAATCAAGTTATATTGCAAAGAAATTAAGAGGGAGCCAGATCAAAGATGATTTCAAAGCATTAATAATTTGAGCAGGTTTCCAATCAGATCTGGTTAAAACTTTGATGTTTCCTCTGATTTCAAAATAGTTTAGTCCAATATAGGATCAAATGAAATGTTTCTGAGCCTGACAAATACTGGCTGACGAGAATCTCTGTATTAAAGTCAAACTCTGGCTCTAAAATATATAAGAATGTCTGCAAAAGCATGGCATTTATCTATAAAAACAATTCCATCTTTTGGATGGAAAACATATTATGGAATGTTGATTCATCTCAAATAATCATTAGTAATCAAGATTAATTGCGATAAGTTGATTAATCACATAACATTTTTTAATTATATGACAGCCTCAGATTGATGTTTTGTTCTTCTTTTTTTTTTACTTTGGAAAGACAGACTATATTTTTCAAAATCCCAGACAGTGCCTCTTCTTAGCAGCCTTTTCAGAAACTGTAATGAAAGGCTGTGCAGACACACAGCATGCTGAAGTACTCAGTTCCAAGTGCTGCTGCTGCTCCTGTCTATCAACTTGTGCAATTCTCCCTTCTTCAACTTTTCATATTAATGAGAGCTAAGCAAAGGTGATGCAATTCTTACTCTGGTGCCTCCCAGTCAAACTGTGTTGCCCTGACTGAGATGAAGTCAGCACACGAAGAACAGTGGAGTTAGTCAGGAGAAAGTGAACCCACCGCCTGACTCTGCTAGGCTACAAGCTGTGGTTCGTCCCTTTGTTAACAAAGACCCCTGACCCTCAGACCAGGTGTTAGTCCTCACTGTCTTTTCAGACCATAAAATACTTGCTCCTGCGGACAGCTTTGGATCAGTTGATTGATGTCGCAAAGCATAAAGTATCGAGGTGAAACGTGGTCTAACTTTACAGAATGAAGTCACTTTTAGCAGTAAACAGTTGACATCACAAAGACAAAGTGCTGCTGATGCCCAGACACATGGTTGCTGACCAACGGTTTAAATTCACAAAATTCTTTATGGTCTGGTATTACAGTACATATCATTTTTTGGATTCATAGAATCTTAACGTTCAGAACGCCACTCTGACCTTCAACTTTGATTAGATTAGATTCATTCACTGGTTCTCTGAGGATGACTGAAGTTATCATATGGTTTAAAATTTTCTCTTGGTTTTCTGGGTAGATGTTTTAACAGTACATGTGTACTTTAAATGCTGAATCAAATCACTTTAGAATCCTTCAAAACTGGTGAGGTTTGAAGTTTTGACAACAAAGAATTTTTAGATTTCCAAAATGTGTGTATCAAAGACCACTAAGAATGGGAGTTAGACCACAGGGAAAATTAGGTTTGATGTCTATCTCTCCATTACCTTTCTCATTACCCACTTAGTTTGATTTTGGGATTTTCAGTTTGTTTTTTTCACTGCTGAAAAATCAGTAAAATCTCCTTTGGCTCAATCCCCGCTGCTCATCCATCATGGCCTGTCTCAACGGCAGGGAGGAAGTGGTCTTATATTCATTCTGGGAACGGATGTGGATCACTGAGCTGGCCTGGACTCACTGTGATACTGCACAGTGCCAGAAATAAGATACTCTTCAAAGTATCTGATGGTTGGTTTGTGCTAAAGAGCAAAGGCAAGTTCAACATAAGGAGGTTTGTCTTGGCAGTGAGAGTCAGAGGACCGCTCTGAAGCAGCATGAAGTGGTAACTCGTGAACACTTACCAAAGCCAAAGGCAGCCGGAGGAGGGATGGGAGCCGACTGGACGGGAGTGGAGGTGTAGAGACCAGTCACCAGAAGACCGTCAAACGATACACTGGTGGAGATGGTTACTGGAGAGAGGAAGAGAGCAAGAGACGTTGTATCAACACAGGCGTTACTTCTTGGCCGTGGCATACAGCACTACCATACCCTTTACATGTATCATTTTTTTTAATGCAAAACTGAAATAAAAAAATAATAATAACAATATTATGCCCTGTTATGGAAGTGATCCACTCAGTAGAATTTGGTTGTATTTTGGCAACATGATGGAAAGTATAATAAAAATAAGAATCAAAATTCCTCAATATCTGATCCAATAAAACTGAAAAGATCAGAAAAGATTTGACTACATCACCAAGGGGAAGAATTCCCCTTTTATCCTTTGCCCCGATGACCTATCATTGTTCTGATTAAAAAAAATCCCATCTGTTGAATATTTCAGTGTGTTCAGTGTAGAGTAGTGAGTCATTTGTGGTGAACGGTGTTTTCCAGGTTGTAATCCAGGTTCCTTAAAGGTTGTTTTTTTTATTTTGTTACTTTTGCTAAACTTACCAAAGATAATATAATAATATATAATAATAATAATAATCATCATAATAATAACAATAATAATAATAAAACCCTGCAGCAAGGGAAAAAAGCAAAACCAAAGAATGTGCTGGACATCGAATAAAATAAAAAAATACATTGCTTTCAATTAAATCCCATCTGTCATCTGATAATGTTGATGAACTCATTCTAAAAAAATCTCATTGTATCTGGGCCAGTCCACTTTGACAATGGTATAAGAGGAGAGTGATAATCTAATTGGCTGAAGACCTGTGGGGTCTATTAGGCTGTTCTTCACCACAGGTCAACAGAAACAGCAGGAGGACAGGAAATCTTTTATCCAGCTGTGCAGATGTATGATTGGGTAAATCCAGCCACAAGTCAACTATTGATCCTGCCAGTAAACAAAGACTATGAATGACAGAAGCACAGATCCAGGTACACTCACTGGAGGGAAGGAACCGAGCCAGTAGACTGCTTCAAGCCAGACGCTCCGGAGCTCAGGGAAACAGTCTGCAGCTCAAAGAAATATCTTCTTCAAATGTTGTCTTTCTTAGCATGCGGAGAGGTTAAAATCCTTTGGAGGCATCGTTATTTCCTGACCAAAGAATCCTACTGTTTTTGGGGCGGATAAGTTAACAATAAAAGAAGGGTTGGTTTGTTTTTTCTAACAACAGCTAAGGATGGTATTTGTCCATTTGGTCCTGGGCCGTTTATTCTGCGGGCTGGAGCCTTTCGATGTGGAAACGTGGGCAGAACAGATACTTGTGTGGCCCAGTCTCGCTGCCTGTCTGGGTGACTCCGTTAACACACTCACAAAATAATTGCCCAGAATTTCTGTCTGAAAGTATGTCTGTGTATACTGGACTACACCAGGTCCAACACAGTTCAACAAAGCCTCAGCAATTCTACATTTATTATATCTATTTCTACCCTCATCTCGTATCACAGATTTGTTTAAAATGTTTTTACTTATATTACTGTAAGAAAAATGAAAGCTTTTTAGTTGTGGTTCATTCAGAAATATTAAAAAATAAAATGTAAACTTAAGGAAAACACTAAACACTAAAAAAAATACAAAGTTTTAATTGAATGGCTCTAAACCACTGAGAGCAACCATTCTGGAGCTCATACAGTGTGTTCAAGAAGCCGTATTGTGGAAAGAGATATTTTGCTTGGCAACAGAAGTAATATCATATTCAAGCCATGTTGCGCAGTGCACCTCTTGCACTGTAATACCCACAGGACACAAGGAAACAGAACCTTCTCATTCAAACAAGCAATTATCATGTTTTTTTTCTGAGTATATGCTGGTTGTGTTTCCTGCTTAGAAGTCTATCTGCTCCATTCCTCTGTGCGGTGAGATATGTTATGCATGTTTACATTGTAGTGTATTGATCCAAGGTCATGGCATGAAGCAGTATTTAATGGAGTAATGGACTGAGTTTGATGCACTGAGATGGACCAGGCCTCCACATCATCAGTGCTCACAATGCACTCTTTGTACAGTTCCACAGACCTCAATCACTAAGGTCACCACACAGATGCTACAACTCTTTAAAGACGTGTGTATGGACTAAACAAACACACACACAACAATTTCTTCTTTTTCAGCACAATGCTATTTTTTCCTCCTTATCCGCTGCTCACGGCTTCTTTTCACTGCCTTATACTCAGCCTTACCGTTCTCTCCTTACCAGATCTACGCCTTCTCCCATTGCATGTTCTACTCCTCACAGCTGTGAACCTGCACTTTGATAGATGTAGATATTAAAAATAGCAACAGTGGAGAGAAAGCGAAGCCACAGGCACAAAGGTTACCGCTCCCGAAAGAAAGAACAGGCGCAAAAAAGGATGGAGACGTGGATTTGCACCTAGAGCACAGAGCCTCCTGATCAATACAAAGGCAAGGTTTTAATTATTTAGTCATGCCTCTAACACTCCTGTCTTACTGCTTGTTAATGCATCAGACGGATGAGCCAATCAGATGAGATCCAATCACTTGTGAGCTAACACACACACACACACACGCGCGCAGTCTTTGATGGTAGCCTTTAACATTCTGATCCATACCTGTTTTCTGAGTACTGTTCTCTTGGCCGGGGGAGGGGGCGGGGGGGTGATGCGGGAATGAGGGTGAACTTTATTACCAACACCCTCATCAAACACATGAACAGTTTCCCTCTGTGGGGTGATGGGTGCAGTTTGGCTTTGTTCATGTCTGCACACAGGTGCTGGACCTGCTTATCTAACGCCAACATCTGACATTACAACTCCAAGGAGTTTTAAAATAAAAAAGTGATTTATAGCAGTAAATTATTCTACAGTAAAGTTGCTGTTTGAATAAAACCACAGGCTTCTTAGCCATTTGAATGGACTGAGTGGATCTGCCAAATGAAGTCACAACAAACCAAACAATGACTACAGCAGGACCAACTTCTTTACTGCCTGAACATTCACTGTCACCACTCAGTAAGACACTCATAGTACATTTTGACAGTATGAAACATGTACATTTGAATTTAAACTACAAATTGTTGAAACACTCAGATTGAACCACATTAAAGTTCACCAAAGCTCAGCTCTTACAAACTGCTCATTTCACTGAATGCAGATCAATCTGTCCACATACAACACTCCATACTTAACATTTGAAATCACCACAGAGCACATCCTTTAGCCCTCTGAGCCTGCATGTTATATTAATGATGTGGTGTGGTACGCCTCATTACAGACACACACATCCCTGCTCCTACTCAAGTATTGATGGGCCAGGGGCTTTCTTCATTTTCTGAATCCATCGCTAAGGCACCGAGCTACAGCTCAGAGTGCACACGGTGCAACAAAACAAACAAAACCACAAAGACCAAACTCACTCTGTTGACAAGCCTCTTAGAGCATACAATTACAGACGTGGCAAAACTGTATCAAAAATTTTAAAAAAATGAATAAAACCAATTCATGTATTGCAGAAATTGGTTGAATTGTCCTAATAAAAGATCACACTTTTTTGACATGAAGATTTAATTTCTGATATTTAAATTCATATTTACATTTTATATTTAAAATTTACCAATGTCATCCTTAAGTAAGAAGGAATGTTTTTATGGTATTGCAAAGGATTCTGTCTACTGTGGTTGGCAACACTTAAGCAGCATCAGCTCTGAATTAGGAAAGTGTAGAGTTAGTTAGCAGCTGGAGCAGACGTCAGAACTCTAAAAGATGAGCTGTGTTGTTTCACTGTATCAGACCAACCACCGAAGCCCTGTTGGTGCTGAGAATAGCCTGAACTGGCCTGTTCTGCAGAGTACAAAAAACCCCAGTGGTCTTTCCAAAACCCAGTCATAACCGTTTCTTACAATGGTATGAATTGCTTAAGATGTAAAGACACAGGAGGAGAATGTGACAGATATTGACCCTCTCATCTGTACAGTTATAGAAAAAGGTGCAAATAACACAAGAGAAGAAGACAGCAATCTAACAATAAGAAAGACAAATATTTTAGTTCAATAACCTTGCACCTCTCTTGTCTCAGTGAACCAGGGGGACAACCTGTCTTTTCCAAGTGGATAGATGTTTTCTTGGAAACAATTTGGACAAGGATAAGCAACCATCTGACCCATATCCCTCTGGCAGACACACATCCCAGAGAGCACCAGGAAATGGAGGCCAGACAAGGGGATATAGTTCCATCTGTTTCCGTGGTGATGCCAGAGTTGAGGTGTCACTTGACTCTGAGCTTCATGAAATGGTTCAAACCGTCAGTCACCAACACGACATTGCTGTGATGCAGGAGACGGCAGAAGGAAGAATAATTCTGACAAGATCCTGCAACCTTCTCACATAAGGACAAATGCTTCTCCTGATTTTCAGAAGACGGTGTGGGAAGTGTGGGTTTGCACGTGTCATGTGGTGTTCTAGTCAGGTCTTGCAGGAATCATTCCATTGCATACCCTTCTGGCACCATCCTGGCCTGCTGGCACTGCCATCTGCTGCTGTGAAACAGGAGATCATCGACAACCATCGGCTGATGAGCTTCTCCAGGCCTGCGCCAACTACAACATCTTCAACACATTTAGCTGAGAGCTCAGTGAACCCTACTGATCTCCTGAGACCACTTAGTGAGATCTTCAAAGATGGCTGATGGTCTATTCTACAATGCGCTGCTGAATATCGATCTCTCTCCATTCACATGGCTTGTTGAGGTTCTCCACTTCTTCAACTAGGAGACCACACTGACCACCTCTGATCTAATACATATATAAAGATCCCTGAAAAATCATTGTCTCTACTTAGTATTCTCGGAAAAATCACGACAAAATCAAAGCAGGATCGGATCAGAAAGATTTAGGTGCAGATAAAAAATAAATACGGAAGCAATAAACATAGTTATCAATAAAGATTTTAAACATTACTTCCCATTAGATAGATGACTGGTGAGCGTTACTGAGTGATCGGGTTCAGAAACACTGATTCTTCCCCTCTGTTGCCTGGTGACCAAAGTGTGACTGGTCCTGAT